CTAGTTTCTTAAGCATTTCCTCTACTGTAGCTAGTTTATGTAAATGTACACAAAGCAGATGCTGCTTCTAGTTGTGTCTTGTTGTTTTGTTTCTTAATTTTGTTGTGGTTGTGGCTTGGCCTGATTATGTTAATTTCCATTAGTTGCATTTGACTGCGCATATGTCGCATCATGTTCTCTGTTTAACCAAATGATAGGACTTAAGACTTAAGCGGCTTTTGCAACACAAGCAGCCTGGACGACAAGGCGGCTTACAGAGGTCAAAACAAGAGCTTAAATTGCTGCAGTTGCAATTAGTGCGAACATTTTGCAAAATTCAATTGCTAAATGTAGCTGAAAGATATTTATTTAGCTGGAGAAATAACTTTGTGATTGATAGCTTCGCTTTAGTCGCCTTTACACTTGAGCTAAAAGTCTATTTACCATGTGCCAGTAACGTCTATTTGTTTGTTGTTTTTGCATTTATTGGAAAAGTGAGCGAAGTGTCATAAGCAGCTGCAGCGGCAGCAACTCAAGCCAGTCAAGTGTCTAAGCTAATAGACATTTAATACTTAAGCCACAGAGAATCGTTTAAGTTATCTTATACTGCATGTACACTGACGAGCAAAACTGTAACACATGTTCAATGTTCTCACTTCAACGGTCTGTATTATCTTTTATACTTTATGCATGATTATGATCATAGTCTTGTTTTGTTAGTGAAATATTTGGCTCTTTTATTTATAAATTTGAAGACATTTGATTAGCGATGAGAGAAATACAATGACAAAGAGTAAAAAAAGTCAAATGTTACAGTTTTGCACTCGCAGAGCAAAACCTATTTACTTTTGTTTCAAAGCTTTTTTTACCATTAAAACTTATTTGTTTTTGTTTAAATCGATAAGCCTTGATCATTTTAAGTCAATTTGCAAAATAATTATGATGGCTGACGAAAAGAAAAAGGAAATAATCGAATTATTGATAGGGGGCGAATCCGTTAGGAAAGTGGCTAATAAATTTGGTGTTGGCCACATGACGGTGCAGTGTTAAAAAAAAAAACAGTTCAGAAAACATTAAAATCAATAAAGGAGGCCGACCGCGACTTTTAAGCCAACGTGACACGCGCCACTTGGCTAACTTAGTTACAAACAATCGCGACTTTACGCCAATAAAAGCGGCTAATGTGTTAAATTTAAATGCCAGTGAGTGGACAGTCCGTCGCAGTCTCGGCAGATTGGGGCTTAAGGCCAATGAAAGAAAAAAAAAAACATTTCTAGCTAAAAGGCACATTAGTTTGCGTTAGAAACTGTGCTATAATGCATGAAAATTGGGGTCTAGCTGATTGGGATGCCGTAAGTTACAAATAAAAAGCTTAAACAATGCTAAAAAAATTTTTTCAAGGTTATTTGGTCAGACGAAACTAAAATTAATCGTTTTAAGTCAGACGGACGATCGTGGTATTGGACTAGGAATCCCACAGTCCAATCGGCAAATACAGTGCGGTGTACGGTGGCGGGTCCATAATGGTTTGGGGCTGTATTTGTACAAATGGAGTTGGGCCCTTAGTGTTAATCGATGGGATAATGCGTAAGGAGCAATACCTAAAAATTTTTCAAGAAAATTTGGGAGGAGTCATTGGCAACATGGGTCTGGCTGATGAAAATTGCATTTTTCTGCAAGACAATGACCCAAAGCACACATCCCATTTGGTGAAAAATTGGTTATTGAACCAAAAGTTTCAAACTATGAAGTGGCCACCGCAATCTCCAGACATGAATCCCATAGAAAATGTATGGAGCCATCTGAAATCGCAGCTTGCGAAATATGCGGCCCCTCCAAATGGCAGGATGGAGTTGTGAGAGAGAACGAAGGACGTTTGGTACTCGATTCCACCTGAAATGGTGCGACGCTACACGCAAAGTATGCCAAACCGTATAAACAACCTCAAAAAATCAAAAGGGCTGTGGACCCGTTATTAAAAAAAATTTAATAAAAGTATTTGTTTAAAAATATTTGCAGTGCAAAACTGTAACATTTGCCTTTTTTCACTCTTTGCCATTGTATTTCTCTCATCGCTAATCAAATGTCTTCAAATTTATAAATAAAAGAGCCAAATATTTCACTAACAAAACAAGACTATGATCATAATCATGCATAAAGTATAAAAGATAATACAGACCGTTGAAGTGAGAACATTGAACATGTGTTACAGTTTTGCTCGTCAGTGTATATTATATTTCTAAATAACTGTACATTTCTAAATATCTTTAAATTTATTTATAATTAGCTGCGTCTTGCTTGGAATGTTATTTAGTTTCAATTCCGCCAGCTGTTTGTGGTTGCAGGCGCTTACAAGTCCATAGCAATGCCCATAACTGTAAATGAGTGTCTTTGTGTGTGTGTGCTTTGGGTGGGGGCGTGCCTGTGGCCAAGTGTTGCCAAGTCTAATTAGCCTCATAATTGAGGCCGACATTTGGCTTTAGCCGTGACAGTCTTGCAATTAAAATTCCTTTGCCACCACTCATGCCACACATGCCCCAAAGGCGCTTGTCACACATGTCGAGTATTTGCGGCTAACCAGATACTCTGCCAGGCGGGTTTCAGTTTAGTTTCTCTCTTCTCTCTCTTTGTCTCTCAAATTGCAAATTTCTTTGTGCAGCGCTCAATTTGGTTCAGTTCAGTGCATTTGCATTTGCATTTGCACTTGCCTCGTGTGGCATGCGGCATGCTGCACGTGGCTGGTCATTATTAGCTGCATTGATTTGGCTGCTCCACTCAAAAGCCGTTTTAATTGTTCTGGGAATTTCGATTGGGCCATGGAGAGGCAGCTCTGCTAATTGGCTGCTGACTTTATATAAAGCAAATTGCAAGTGGCAAGTGCAGCAGCAATTCGCAATCAGGCATTAATTTAATTTATTTTCAGCTAATTGAAAACTCAACAATCGCTGGAAATTTATTGTTAAATAAATAATTGTAGAGAATCAAAAATATATATTTGGATATATTTTACATTTAATTGGGAGTTGGGAGAAAATGAAAAATCAGGGTATAATGGGTTTCTTAGAATGTATGTAACTGGCAGAAATAGGCGTGGCAGACCCGACGATTTAATCATCCGTCTATATGATCTCAGCTAGAGACTATTTTTTGAAGGGCTTAAGAGCTAGAGCCTCCAAATTTTGTATTTAGTATGTTTATTATATGTAATAAATCTAAAAATGTGAAACAGCGCAGAAATTATATATATATATATATATGTATATGTATATGTATAGCATATATATTCCCGATCAGAATGACATGTTCTGTGCATATAGCTAGCTAGATCTGTCTGTTTCATTTCATTTTCATTTCATTTCATTTCGCTCTAATTTAATTCAAAATGAGTGCAAATTCTCACTCAAAAAGGGCTCAGGAGCTCAGTTGGAGTTGCAGTTTGAGTGAGTTTTGGGTATAAAAGGGCGCAGCAGCGGCGTGGGCGATCAGTCAAGTTCCTGACCTGGACTAGGTCAGTCGCAGATCAGTGCAAGTGGTGAATAAATTTAAGTTTTTTTTTTTGTTAAATTGTTTAAGTTAAAATAATTTGTATTAATTAATAAACATTGTATTTGTTTAAATAAATAGATTTAAGCTTTTTTGTTTAATAAATATTTAAATATACATTTAATTGTTCAATAAATATTTAATTGCTTAAATGTTAAAAATGTATGTTTAGTATTAATAAACAGTAATTGTTAGTATAATAATGATGTTCGTCGTAATGTTCATTAGCGATAATGATCATTCGGAATAATGATCATTAATGTTAATGATTATTCGTGCTAATTATCATTAACGATAATGATCATTAGCAATATAATTTTGTATGATCATTTTTGTAATGCTAATTAAGTTGCGATGCAAATGCCTATGCCTTGTTCTCTTTAAAATTGTTAATTGCTAAACTTACTCTTATTAAATATGCAATAAAATAAGTAATATTTAATAGCTTTTTATTTTATTTACCTCTTTGTGATATAATTAAGTCATTTGCAAAGTGTGTGCACTGTTTGTCAAAGGCAGAGAATCTCTTCTCTTAATTTTCATTTTTATAACATTATATTTTTGGTTTTAAATATTTTATATTTACAAAAATATAGACATGTACATATATATATTTATATTTAAAAAATATTTACAAACAAGAATATATTATATACAAATATATATATTTAATGTATTGCATGACTATAATGATAAAAATGGGAAATGTTTGCCAAATAATCTATTTATGTATTACAAAATGAATATTTATGTAAATTTTCTCTCTTTCTTTAAAATTATAAAAATGTCTAAAATAAATATAAAAATAAAAATTTTGAAAAATATTAAAATATTAACATTTATAGCTATATTTACTGCAGACCTATATATAATACATATATATACATATGTTTAATGCTCTTCAAGAATTATGTGTGTATTTATTTGGTAGAGTTGATGCGCGTTGTGTAGGCGATGTTGTGTCCTGAGGTCGGTTATTGTATGTCTTTTTATAATGATCGACATGGAAAATATTAAAAACCGCAAATTGGACTGTGTTCAGGGTAACTCATAGTCGGGCACCCAACTAGAGATTTCTTGCTTATTTATATATCATTTTATTTTATTTTTTAAATTTAAAAAATTAATGGCATTTATATAATATAATTTTAAAAATTTAAATAAAAAAAATAAATAAAATACTTTAATAAAAAATTAACTAAAATGTCAAATAAAACCAATATGCCCCTTTCTTCAGCCAACAAACAATTTAGTTAACAATAGAAGCCCAAAATTCAATTTCAATTTTTGATATTAACAACATATTTTCACGGTTCAGAACACATTTGTATGAATAAATGATTTGCTTAAATAAACGGAAACCTAATCAAATAGTAATTGTCAGCGCATGTTAATTGAATAATCTTCTATAACTAATTAAATTTGATATTCTAACCATATATAATTATTTAATTTCCTGTCTTTCATTCCTATTGCAGTGGCAACGATTTGTGGAACTGGACAACATTTGCATGCAGATTTAATAATGGTAAGTTCCATGGAGACTGGGCACAGCTGAAGCTGAAGCTGCCAAATAATTGCCGGAATGTGTTGCATGTCCTCTGTCCGTGTGTTCGCCTGTCTGTCTATCTGTTTTGTGTCCCTTGCCCCATGTCTCGTGTCGTTGACATTTAGGTAATTAATTTCACGGCCAATTGACGTGTGTCAATTAGCTGGGCACGGTTCATGGGGTTTACGCAAAGTTCATATTGAAATTTTAGCATGGGACGAGAACTTCAAAAGTCAATTAATATATTACATAATAGTCTGTTGTTTGTTTGGTCACGTATTTATATACTCAGTATTGTATTAATAGCTAACTAAATCTTAGGTAATGCACAAACATTCAAACTCATTGACTGTGATTCAATTTATTGCCCAAATATGTAAATTCAGGCAAGTAACTTACATCGTTTGCTCCTAACACTCAATGTTGGCCTATTAGAGAACGTGTTCTGCTAATCAATAATATGTTTTATTCAAATGACATAGAGGCTTGACATTTTCTTACCTAACCTTTGCTGACCTTCAGTGCAAAACATGGTTTTCATTAATCGTTAAAGTAATATGTACTTATGTTACCCTGTTCTGTCCGAATTCATGTTACAAGCAAAGACATAAGCTAGAGCTATCAAAATATACACAAATACTTTTTCAGGGTATTTGCTAGTCGAGCATTTTCTACTCGAGTATACTCTCTACCTCCCTCTATTACACTGTAACTTGTTTATATGTCAGTTTCTCCGTTGAATCACGAACCCCTCTAAGTAGCTTGCGACATTACTTGAAAACTAATTGCCTAGGGTCTTTCCTAGCCAGTCAGTCCCAATCAGGGCACTCTAACTTATATATCTGTTTCTCTATTAAAGCTGTTTTGCTTTTAAATTGCTTATGCACTCGTTCTTTCCATTTAGTTACGTACTTGCGCAATACTTGAAATTTATCGTCTCTCTACGAGATGCTCATAATCTCCTATTTTTCCATATTTATGAACTTGTTTTTCATACATCTAAAATCAATGGAATAAAAATATTTGCCTGCAAATTGTGCGGCTAAAGTTTCGACATTTGTCTATTAAACCTGACGTATTAACGGATCTCATTAATCTTCGTTGTCTTTGACGCGATTCCATTTTATTTTGTATTTTTTTTTTCAAGCAATTTGCTTGTCTTGCTTGGGTCTTGTTCTTGGCTTGGCTTAAATGGCGTTAAATGAATGTTCACAATGTGCGCCAAAAGCGATTAATTTGAGAATATGTGTGTAGCTCGGTTGCGCTCACTTGGGCGTGGCAGCAGAACCGAAACCGGCAGCAAAATGTCGCCTTCTTGTTCGGCCCGGCCCCTGGCTGCTTGCTGGGCGTGTGAGAAGCAATTTATCTTTGGCATTTTGCTGTTGCTCCTGTTGCTGCTTTCTTTTGCCTCACCATCTGCTGCTGCTGCTGCTGCTGCTTCTTCTACCCATTTGCTGGTCTCTCTCCCTCTGGCGCGCTGGGCAAATTATGCGAGTCGCGCATTTTTCTGTAGCATACTTTTGTGCGCTCGCTTTACCACTCTCACACACACGCATACATTGACGCACTCACGCACACATTTACATAGTGCGCGCATACCAAAAATTAATATACTGACATACCTTCGTTGGCATGCAGAGCCAACCGCTTAGAGCTGCCACTCGACAGCTGCCCTTTTGTAATGAAGTCAAAATTAACGCATTTTTTCGCTGCTTCATCAAGATAGAAGTGGAATAGGAGCATAGGAAACGTGTTACCAGCAGTAAGTTTTAATTGGAAAACAAATTTCTAAACTTGGAACTTTAATCAAATGCCTTAGATTCTCTAAACTAATCTAAGCAACAAAGCGAGTTGAGAAATGCATAAAATGTGGGCAGAAGATATAAAGAAAATATAGTAAAACTTAGCTTTTTGGTTGAAATTTATACTCCACATAGCATAGCCTACCCTGTTTATTGTATAGCATCATATATCTTGCTGTAGTTGCATAATAATGCCATTGCCACACCGTCACAATTCCCTTAATTGTCTTTATTTCATGGCTTTCATGGCTTTTTTCTCCTGTTTTCAAAATTCTAATTTGCATTTGGCTATCCATTGGGAAAATTTGGTCTCACTGTCGTGCGCGAATAGCTTAATTGACTTCAGTATGCGCGATGGCCGCGTTCGCCTCCCACGAGGTTTGCTGTTGTTATGTGGCTGCCCGCAGTGCCAAGCCTCAACCTTCTACCTCCTACTCCAAAGTGTGTGTGTGTGTGGGTGGGTATGTGTGTGTGAGTGTGCCAAAGCGCTTTGTACAATTTATGTTTTCCAATTCATTTCACTTATTAGCTACAAATCAGTGTGTTGCTGTGTGTGTAGCTCATTTGTACGGCATAATTTTGGTGGCTGCATTTTGGACAATTATTCGATTAATTGGCTGCGCATTGTTGCAGGCTAATTTGATTAGAGTTCCATAACTCCTCATTTGCCACGTGCAACTGCAACTGATTTGTATCGAATGTTTCTATATGGAAATAGTTGCGTAAATATGATTGCAAATGGGTATTATATAGTGCAACGCAGCACTCGCTCTAATCGTAATCGAATGTCGTCAAATCTATTATACAACCATTTTCCCTTACATCCAATTAGACGGCGTCGACAGTGACTGACGCATTTGAATGGAGCTGTCGTCTTGACGCTGATGCCATTGCGTAGACATTGACAGCATCTATTTCCATTTCTCAATTACAATTACAGCTGCTAATTAACTTGGCCCAGACATTCTTGTGGGAATTCATTTAATAATTCCACACGCAATCGCTCACATCCTCTGTCAGCGTCGTCTTCTCGCTTCGTTCTAATTACACATTAAATTTTTGGGCATTTGGTTTGTTGGTGCTCGTTGAAGTTTTCACCTTGGCTTCTTTAACCGAACCGAACTGAAAAGCTCATAAAAAAAGGAAAAAATTTGCGATTTTATTCTCACCGCGAACGGGGCAGCTGCACGAAATTGAATTTCCCAAAGGCCACGTGACGTTGCCATCAATTTTGGCCGCTCCCAACTCAATCCTGCTCTACTCTAATCAAATGCTGCTCGGGCCATATTCCGAATTCCGATTTCGATTTCCAATTGAAAGCTACAAAAATTTTATAAATTCCGGCACAGCACAAATTGCAATAAATCAAACAAAACCAAAAATGCAAATCAGTTGGTTCTGTGCGCGCGCACACACACATCGAATCGACTGCAGCTCGCAAAGGTGGCACTGTTAATACCCTGTAGTATTTATGATCATGGTGGGTGATATTCGATATTTATAAAGAAATAATCAGAGAATAAAAGCTGTTTAGAGACATATATAGGAACATAAGTTCTAAACAAGGCTTTAGCTTGGCTTAAGCCAGAAAAACTTATACATTTTGTACAACTGAAACACATTCGAAGGCTTATGGCAAGTCATACATTCATTCAAGCTTTAAGCCAAATCTCAGATAAGTTTTTGTGTCACTTGAAACTCTGATTCAAAGACATAAATTAATTATATTTATTTATCTATCAAAATTAGGCCTATAATTTAATATTTATATTACAAAATAATTTATTAAATTAAATTTAATTGATTCATTATTCAAAATAGCACTTTAGTATTATAATAGAGAAAGTCAAATATCTCTTCAGCAACTTTGACAAAAATATTTAACATTAAATATCTCATATATATTAAAAGCATTAATTTAAATTATTTTTGTCTTTATTTAAATTAATTAAAATTTATTTTAATGTATATTAAAATGCTTTAATATATTAAAATAAATTATAAATAAATTTTTTATCTATAATTTAAGCTTTTATGAGCTATATTCAAAATTTTAGATTAAGTTTTTTACATTTTTTAATTTCCTTTTAGTTGCAAACATTTGTTATAAAATTAGACCTCATTAGACGCTCATTGCTTTGCCTTAGTTTAAAGGTTTTTAGAGGCTAACTGACAGTCGATCTTGGCCGAGTTGTATTTTAGTTTATAACTGCTGCCAACTAAGCATAGGTTGGCCTGGTCAGTGAAGCGTTTCAGCTCCGAATAGTGCAGCGCACAGCCATTTTGCTAGGCCAAAAGGATTGGGGCAGCAATGTGCCCAAAGTGAAAAGCAATTTGAAACGAACAACTCCACACAGCGCAGCGTTCGCCGTGTGGTCTATTGTACAGCTGAAATTGTTGCTTGATCAGAGTGTCAGAACTTTCGCAGCATTTAAAATAATAATAAAAATTATATTAACTTTATGAAAGTTTTGAATATTTCTAATATATTCATTTACTCTTTGCAGGCTACTATGCTCGACATGTCGTTGTTGTGGCCAGCCACGGCTGAGCTGTGTTCACTGTGCCCCACCGTGAGCCAAAATGAGGCCGCCAATGGCCATGCAGTCGACTGCAGCATTGCAGCAGAATGAAACGTTGTTTCAGCAGGCGCACGTTCATGTACATGCGACGCCAGCAACGCAGCCAACGCAGATACATGCGACACAGCATCCGCTAAGCTCAACGGGGTTAGAGTTGGATACGCAACATCAACAGCAACAGCAGCAAAAGCAGACCAAACTGCCACCTTTGGAGCTGCTTGTAGAGCACAAGCTCAGCTATAGCTCAGCAGCAACATATCAGCAGCAGCAGCAGCAGCAGCAGCAACAGCATCAACAGCCACCCAAGGATCTCAGACATTCCTCACAGGCGCGCAGCGACGATTGCCTCAGAAGCTCTGCACGCGCTTCCATCTTTGATGACGCCGCTGAGAACTTCATCATTAACTTTCCGGCTGAATCATCGCTACAGCTGCAGCCGCTTTTGCCGCTGTCAGAGACGGTGCCACTGCTGACCCACATTGAGGCCACAGTAGTGGACAAGCAGCGCTCTATACGACTCAACAAGAACAGCGCCTCGCTCATCTTCACCAAGAAGGAGCTCGGACCGATCAACGGCCAACACCGACGCCAGCATCACAGCTTGTACGGCGCTGGCGAGCGTCAGCGCAAGCAGACAAAGCATCTGCCGCCCACGCGCGGTCAACAGCAGCGGCGCAGCCTTCAGCTGAATTATAACAACAATCTGGTGACCACCGCTGCATGCATCAACGCCGGCACGGCTGGCCCTAATTACGCCGCCAACGGCGGCAAGCTTGTGCCGCACAAGCATCATACACACAGTCACGGTCACGGCCAGGGTCACGGCCAAGGTCACGGTCAGGGACACAGTCACGCCGGCGTGGGGCTCACGTCGCCAACGACCAACGGCGCCAGCGCCGCTGTCTCGGCGCGAAAACAGCTCTCCTACTCCTGGTACGCGCCAGTCTATAGTGCGCTCGAGGAGGAGCTGGAGCAGGATTCGAGGGTAAGTTGAATAGTGAATAACAATCTAATATTCGTAAGACTGCTTTGATGCAAATAAAAACAGAAAAACGAGTAAATATGATTGAAATTGGCTTGGATATAAATTGATAACTATCGATACTAAATATAAGCAAGCAACCAACTAGAATTGCTGTTACCGATATATTGTAAATAGTTCCAAAGGGTTAAAGCTCATGAGGCTCTGTTCATTTTATATTCTCGTTACCATATGACCTATAGCACATAGATAAATCTTGTCTTGGATGTGATTTAGGTTAAATGTTTTTCCATTTTAATCACAGAGGGCAGAAAAACGTGATTGCTGACTGTGATTTATTGACTTTTATTACAATGCATTTAAGAAACTTGCTGCGATGCAAACTAACTGGATTTTACCGGTTTAGCTAGAAGAGATAGAGCTAGAGATAGAGATAGAGATAGAGATAGAGATAGAGCTAGACCTAGAGACAGAGATAGAGATAGAGATAGAGATAGATAGAGATAGAGATAGAGATAGAGATAGAGATAGAGATAGAGATAGAGATAGAGATAGAGATAGAGATAGAGATAGAGATAGAGATAGAGATAGAGATAGAGATAGAGATAGAGATAGAGATAGAGATAGAGATAGAGATAGAGATAGAGATAGAGATAGAGATAGAGATAGAGATAGAGATAGAGATAGAGATAGAGATAGAGATAGAGATAGAGATAGAGATAGAGATAGAGATAGAGATAGAGATAGAGATAGAGATAGATATAGATATAGAGATAGAGATAGAGATAGAGATAGAGATAGAGATAGAGATAGAGATAGAGATAGAGATAGAGATAGAGATAGAGATAGAGATAGAGATAGAGATAGAGATAGAGATAGAGATAGAGATAGAGATAGAGATAGAGATAGAGATAGAGATAGAGATAGAGATAGAGAAAGGAATAGAGATAGAAATGGAGAGATTATATCCAAATATCTGTTGCTATGGAAGCGCCCATGAGCCTTGGCAATTATTTCCATATATTATATTATTTTGCATTAGTGAAGCTAGTGAATGAAGGATGTGAGTTAAAACTAAGCTGCTCTTTAGAGCTAATACTTCTGTCTAATATAATATATGAGATCAACAAGTTATTTAAATAAGGATTGCAGGATTCAGAGTAGGAGAGGGCAAATTTAGCGAGCGACTACTATGAAATCGATTGCGGCCGACTGCAAGCTAATGAAAGAACTGTATATTAGATATATATATGTCATGGGAATTGTTTTGACATTTTTGTTTATGCATGAAATTCAAAATTCCGAGTATAACTACAAATTCGAATAAAGCAAGTTTTGATTCAGTTGTGTGAGTTAGCGAAGATTTGATCAGAAACTGCCTCGTTCATAGGCAGAGATTAATTGTTATTGAACTGTTATATATCGTTGTAACAATTTGTTTGCGCGCATTGCAGGATTCCTCGCCAATTCACAATCTGGCCAACACAAAGCATCAGACACGCGTCAGCAGCCAGCATAGTGCCACTGCCTCGCATGCCGCGCCGCAGAATAACGACTCGGACACAAACGAGACAGTTGCGCTGCTGGAGACGCAGACGCAGGCGCGCAACAAGATCAACATCATTTCGGCTAGCGACGCCGCAGCTGAGCGCAAGGCGCAGCCGACGCGCATCTCCCTCTCCCTGCCCAGCAACGCCCACAATCACAATCATTCGCTGTCCGTCAGCAGCCTCGGCCTGGGCAATGGAGCCGCCGCAGCAGCTGCAACTGGAACAGGCGCAGGCGCTGGCACAGTCACAGCTGGTGCGCCGGATGTGGAGAGCTCGTTGGGACTTACAGGCGCACAGCTACCACGGCGCCGTCGCTTCGAGAATTTCCTCAAGTCGCTGGTGGGGCTCAAGGGCAGCAGCAGTCGCGGCAGCGAAAAGGAAAAGGAACGCGAGCGTGAGCCGACGAATCAGCGACCCGCCTCTCCGGAAATACGCATTACACGAACGCCCTCGGAACAGGATGTGGTGCTGCGCGATCCCGCTGGCCGGCACCACCACCACCACCAGCAACACCACCACCATTACCAACATCAGCAGTCCACACAGCTAGCCAATGGTCATGGCAACAGTAGGCTAAGCATTAGCGGCTCAAGCAGTTCGCTGAATGTGGTGCAGCAGAAGCTGTGGCACATGATGCGACGTGAGGGCAGCGCCAGCAGCCTGCACCACGAGAAGTCACAATCGATTGTACAGTACACGGGCCTGCGCAAATGCGAAACGGTCCTGGCCCTGACACACCAGAGTCATACGCTGCATCCCATGGGCTGTGCTGATGAGACGAGCGCACGGGGCGGCAGCGGCATATTCAGTGCCGGTGGAGTGGAGCAAATACGTCCGTTGAATCGACTGCGAAACAGTGTCAACAGCATCAATGGAGCTGGCACATGTTCGAGATGCTCTAGCTTATTATCTTTGGCCGCTACCGGGTCGCGTTACTCCTTGGCCAATGGCTTTGTGCCGCGTCCCGAATCGGCATTGTCACTGAGCACACATGCCAGGCGTACAAGCGCTTGCTTTGCGGACGCTGGGGAGGATCAGCTGTCGGAGCCGACGCACATCAATGTCAATGCGCAGATACGACTGAGCAATGGCAGCAACACAGCAACAACAGCAACAGCGACACCCACGAATGCTGCTGCTGCTGCTGTTGCTGCTATTGGCTGTGGTTCACGCAAAAGTTCCGCTGGCCTGCCTAGTGTCAGCAGCCCGAGTCCGCCGTCCAATGTGACCACAGCAACGATGCACTCCAACAGCAACAGCAACAACAACAATAGCAACGGCGAAGAGCAACCGGCGACGCCCAGCAGCACAGCCTGCGGCGGCGGCGGCGGCATCGAACTGGGCGCCTTTGGCACCACCCACGCATATCCACTAACTGTCAGCTCACTGCAGTCCATGGCCAATGCCAATCAGGCGGCTCAGGCCTGCTCTGTGCGCGATGGCATCACACTGAAGCGGCGCGAAATGCTCGCCTCGGCGGATGTAACGCCGTCTGCGGGCACACCGGCCACGCCCATTCAATTTCAGCAATTCACCTGCAAGCTCTGCCTCGTCGACGTGGAGCTAGCCGCCGAATCCACAACGCTGCTGCAATGCGGCTGCCAGTTCTGCACTGAGGTAAGTCTGAACTAAACTTACATTTGACTATCTCATAAACTACAAAACTTTATTGACTCCTGGCGTTCATTTTTGATCTCACTGTACGCTAAATACATATGCCCCAAAGCTGCTTTAAGCTGGGGAAATTTATTTGCCCACCTGTAGGGGGAGGGTATGAGATATGTGCGCATCTAGCTGCATATGTTCGCTTTCTTACTAGTCTGCTGCCCGTGTGCACAGGTGAGAATTGAAAAATGAAGCCACTGCAAACGCAATATATTTCAAAGCCAAGGCAACGTTTCTCTAAGCTTAACCCGTACAAAGCAACTCAAGGAAAATAAGTATCGAATTTATTTGTAAATAGTCAAGCGAAAATGGGAGTTGGACTTTGTAGTATATAGGAAATTTAATGATTATTAAAAAAGTTGAAACTTCAACTATTTATATATGCTGATATATAGTTCTAATCAGAATCAATAGACAAATTTTTCTAGCCCTATGCAAGCCTTACTAGAGCAGACAATTTCCATTTCCAATATCAAACTTTTAAGATTTTAGTCTCACGAACGTCTTTGGAGCTACCATTATTAAATTTCTTATATATATTAAAAAAAGGCACAATTTACGCATACGCTACTCTTTGTATATCTCTCACTCACAAATACCATGGCATTAGGTTCCGGGTATTTTCTAGTCCAGCCCTCCCAGCCAAACCACGCTTTTTTGTTTGACTTGCATTTTTTAATAGCTCAACTGGGTAAATGTTTAAAGAATACTTAAACTTTTATATTTTTAAAAGCTTCTTAAGCCGAAGCCCTTGAGAGCATTATCAAATTCTAATATAAATTCTCTGCTGCTTAAGAATATTTACAATTTAGTTTGCAATTTCAATTTGCATAGGAAATTTGAGTTCTTAAATATGAAAACTTCGTTGAGCTCCATTAAAGGGTTAATGCAACAGCTGCTGCTGCTATTGCTGCTGCTGCTGTTGTTGTTGCTGCTGCTCAGGTTAAAGTAATTCAGGTAAATGCTTTTTGCAGGCAGCTCTGCTACTTCTCTGTGTCTGCCGCTTCACTTTATACAAATATGCAGCATGTAGCAACAAATTACATTTTGGGACTTGGGGCCAGAGCGGGCGTGGCGGAGTTGCTTCCCTTAAGCACTTTGCTGCACAGAATTGCATGCAGCATTTTAAATAATTGAATCAGTGCCAAAAGTGAAGCTTGCAATGATTTCGAACTGCTTGCCACATGCCGCACATGCCACACTTGAATTTAATTTCCAGTGTCTAATACAGAACATAATTTCTACTGTCCATTTTTCTTGTTGTTTTTCTTGCTCAAAATAAATAAATTAAACGTAATTGGCACGTAAGAAAGTTTACAGTAAAAAAAATTAAAGTGGTTAATTTGAGTCCTTAAAATTTTTGCAAAATATATATAAAAAAAATTGTATTATATTTTTATAAAATTAAAAAAAAGTAAATAATAAATTAAAGTATTTTATTTATTATATTTATCTGCATAAATTAAAATCAAAATTCTAATTTTTGATTGACTTTACTTAAAGTTCTTAATATACTCTATTACTTCATAGTCTTCAAAGAAATTCTTAACTAAAATTTGTAATATTTGTTGCTCGCTAAAATCCGTAAATTAAAGCCATATTTAAAATATAGCTTAAACAAATCTCATCTTAAACTTGTACTCCATACTCGAACTTAATCTTAAATTATATCAAAATATATAGCTTTAACAAAATCCATTAAAAAATTTCTACCCAGCTCAGACTGGTTTAAAAAACTCTGTATTTTAGCTATGTTATAACAATGGCGCTAAGCTTTATTGCTTTTTAAGCTGTTACAACTTGCATGGACAAATTATAATGCTCTGCCCTTCAGGGTATTTAGATAAAAAATAAAGTTTTTCTTGACTGCTGCACTAAATAAGTCTGTAGCTTGTTGTTGTTTTTGCTGCTGCTGCTGCTGCTGCTGTGGCGGTGCTAGTTGTTTATGTGCAGGTAAAATTTATTACAAACACAAACACACCCACACAAACACACATACACTTAAATAGATGTGAAACTGTCTACAGTTGCCGCTCAAACATGTCCACTGGCACTACGTGCTGCTTCCGACACGTCCTGCTGACTGCTGCTGCTGCTGCTGTTGCTGCTCTCTGACTCAGCCTCCAACTTAGACTCAGCGCTTGCCCAGTTTTAGCTACGTGCCTAATGCTAACAAATGTCACAGCGCTTACCGCCCAATCTCTCTCCCTTGCTTGCCTTGGGGGTGTCGTTTTTCGCTGCCATTTGTCACCCAAAAACTGTTGGGCATGATGTGCAGTTGTTCGCATTCAGCTGAAACTCCTTAAAGCTGAAAATGTGCTGGCATTGCACATACGCAGCGTTGGCTGCCAGCGCTTAATTGAAAATCTACACGCGCAAATTCCAATGCAAACACAATTTTTACATTCATTTCGATGTCGTCGTCGACGTCAGTTGTTTTTATGGTTGTTTATTTGTTTATCTCATAGTCTGGCTCACTATGTCGCGCAGCATATAACTGCGCTTGTTTATGATTCACTGAGTTGACAAATTCGTTTGAGCTGCCCTCCCCCACGAGCAAGCCCAGCGTAACCGAAACTAGTCGCAAGCACAAAAACAAAAACAACAAAATCGTCTAGAACAGCATAAAAATATGTAGATACTCCGCATATGATATGGAATAGCATGTCACTTTAGTGCAGCATCATCATAATTCATATATATATATATATCTGCCACCCACACGTACAGCCAAAGCAAATGGATAAGGATGTTTTTGCCTGTTCTGTGGGCTAAATGGAAAACGAATACGATTGTAGTAATGTTATTAAAGAGAAAATAGTAAACGCTGAAGTTTAAATTGAAGATAGAGAGAGAGCTGACAGTATAAATAAAACTTAAATTCGAAACAAAATTATATTGAGCCAGAGCTAATATTGATTAAAGTTAATATATTATGAGTAGACTTCTATCGCATTATATATGAGAGGCAATATACTAAGATATAAGCTTAAATTCTAAATAAAAATATATTAAAGGAAGTTTTCTGTAAACATAGATTAAGGTTAATATAGTCAAAAGATAATATAGGATCACTCTTTTATGGCATCAAGTATGAGAGATATCAAATAGTTAAAGAAATATTTTATTGCTGCAAATATGAGCTAAAAAAATATATATATAATGCAAGGAATACCCTTAAATGCATATGAATCAATATAATGATATTCAATATCAATACGTTTTTTATTTGTCTTAACTATTCGGATCATTTTTATATATAAATATTTTATATGTATATAGATATTTATATACATATATACTTCAATCAGAAACATGATATTTTCTCTCATTTGGTTTGCCAGAGATATAATAAAATATAATAAAAATTGCCTTTGATATTTTTGGCTACGCAATAAAGATAATAAATCGTTTCTTAATGAATTACGTTTTAGATTTATCGTCTTCCATTTCTTGTTTTATTGTTACTTGACTCCTTCGTTTTATATATAGATTTTAGGTTTTCACATTTATTTATAGCTTTTTGCTGACTCTCAATTTCCTTTGAATTTAATTTATTTTGTATTTTTCCCCAAAAGACTTGTGCATTATTATTTTCATTTGATATTTGATCATTTATAAATTCTTGGAACTTTCTGCAGAACATTTCAGCTCAAGTTTTATATTTTCATTTGATGATTATTTATCGACATATTTATGCATAATCATCTGTTAAAAGATAAGCTTGTCAAACTGAGTAAATGAATTTCTTAAGATTGTGAGCTGCCACTTTTTGAGCGAGAGTCCTGCACCAACATTTTGCATGGCGTGTAGCAAGAAATATCTTGATGTGCGCTGTGGTGCTCGTCATCTTGTCTGGCAGCTGTGTGGGCTGCAGGTTGTTGCGGCGGCTGCTGTTGCTCTGTTGACTGCGCATGAAAAATGGCGTTGCTTATTAAACATGCTCCAACGAATACACGGCGCCAGCGCTGATGAGGGGTTGCAGCAGCAGCAGCAGCAGCAGCTACTAAAACATGTTGAGCTTTAAACTTTGCCCTGGCAGACTTTTAGTTTTGCCTTCAGGTTGTTTTTTATACTTCAAGTGCCAAATCATATTCAATGCACACGCGCACTTAACGCACACATTAGCGTGTGTGTGGGTGCCTTTAAAAATTGTTGCACATAACATGACGTATACGTAATATTACGTATACGCAATAAAACGTTGCCAGCGATGGGGGCTGTTAAAAAGCTGAAAGCTGCTTGAGACGTTGCACAAAAGGCTGACTCGCAGCTGACTACTAAAGTGACCTGAATTTAGATGCCACCTACACACACCCACACACACATGCACACATGCACACATGCACAACAAACTCTTGTTTAGTGCAGCGGCGCCTCGCAAAGTAGGCAACTTATTGAAATTTATGCAACGCCTTCTGTATGTCTGTCTGTCTCCGTGTGTGTTAAGTGTACACAATGCCTTGGCTTTAAACCTTTGACATTTTAGCTCAGTGGCACACCTAAACATACCACACACGTCCACACACACTCCCACACACATTGCATTTGGCCTGCATTCATCTTTTCGTTAAGCTGCGCTCATTTTGCAATTTGTTCGTCGCTTTGAATTTCGCTTTTCATTAAACGCCGCAGCAATTTTTTTATTTTCTACGTTGCAAGGTACATGCATACGCATTGCCATGGCAACAACAAGAATTCTGGTCAGCACTGAGATCCTTTTGAATAGGTAAAAAACCAAAAGCGAGCAATTAAAAACAAGTGAATAAAAAACACATGTCTTTATGCGTAAAAGTGCAAATACCCTGACTTAAAATGTATATATTTATATCTAAATAATATATATATATAAATATATCTATAGATGATACTGTTAAATGGAATAAGTTTAAAGTTAATTTTTAAACAGCTCTAACTCTTGTCTTATCTACTTCTGCCACCATTTCTCATAT